CCATTGATAACGCATGAAACCTTACCCATTAATATTTCCAATGATGCCTTACATAAGGAAGAGATTACATTTCAGGTGATTGCATCTCCTTCATATCATATTAGGATTACCGTGGCTTAGAAAGCATAACCCTCATATTGACTGGGCTAAGAGGGAAATATTAGAATGGGGTAAGGATCATAATGAAAGGTACATATTGCATGTCACCAAAAAAGTGGGCAATATTGAATTACCCACTAGTACACATCAAAATCCCGAGATCTCTATACAATACCAAAACATTAAAGAAGTATTCAGCAAGACTCAGTCTAATACTCTACCTCCTCACAGACCATATAACTGCTCCATTAACTTACTACCAGGCGCTATGCCACCTAAGGGAGCAGTCTATGCTCTATCTCCTCAGGAGAGTAGTGTAATGGAAAGATATATTAAAGATTCATTGAATAAAGGCCATATACGAAAATCATCCTCGCCTGCTGGTGCAGGATTCTTTTTTGTATCTAAAAAGGATGGTGAGTTGCGCCCATGTATCGATTACAGGATATTGAACAAAATCACCTTTAAGAATGTCTACCCCATACCTCTTACTGCTGAATTATTTGACAGACTCCAGGGCGCTAAAGTGTTTACTAAGCTTGACCTTAGAAGCGATTACAATTTAGTGAGAATCAAGGAAAACAACGAGTCGAAGACTGCATTTAATACCAGAAGTGGACACTATGAATATCTAGTGATGCCATTTGTGTTCCGCAATGCTCCAGCGGTTTTCCAAGATTTCATTAACGATGTACTCAGGGATTAGATTTACTCATTTGTCTTGGTCTATCTGGATGATATCCTTATTTATTCTCCTGAACTCCAGTCTCACCACGATCACGTCAAACAAGTTCTGCAAACCTTGTTAAAAAAAAAAAAAAAAACTTTATTGTAAATTGGAAAAATGTATCTTTGACCAGTCTGAAGTACAGTTTTTAGGATATAATATTTTTGAATCGGGGTTTCAGATGGATCCTAAAAAACTAGAGTCTGTTCTACAGTGGCCTTTACCCACTGGGTTGAAAGCCATTCAAATGTTCATTGGTTTCGCCAATTATTACAGAAGATTTATATAGGGATCTTCTTCAGTAATAGCCCCATCACCAACATGACACGCAAGGGGGCTAGTAGTACGATATGGTCTAAGGAGGCTATTGAAGCCTTTGAAACTCTCAAACAGCGGTTTGCCTCCGCCTAAATATTGATACATCCTGACACCAGTAAGCCTTTCATACTGGAGGTTGATGCTTCAGAGACAGGAGTAGCAGGGGAAGTTCTCTCCCAGAGAGAGAGCCAGGAAACTCAGTTAAATCTGTAACGGATCGACGAGCACCCCGACTGGGTACCTCCGTTGATGGATGCTCCTAGCGCTTCCTGAGGACTCCAAGCACTGCAGCAGACACCACAACCACCAAACCAAAAGCATACGAATGCTCTCAAGCATATGAATGCTGTAAACAGCTGAACAGGAAAAGCATACAATCAGCTTACACTCCTGGCAATCAACATACAATCCAATTCCCCCAATAACGAGATGACACTACGTTTTGAGGTCAAGCAGAATTATCACAGGCAGAGAAATGCAGTATTATAAAACATATCACAGGGACCCCAAAACATGCAATAACCCCATAAAAAGTACCGGGGGATCTGGGTGAACCACATATCCAAAATTCACCCAGATCCGTTCAGTAGTTTGGAAGATACAGTTTAATGCAGATTCTGAAGAACATGTACAAGCAATATGAAAAATAATTACTGTATAATGTGTCCTCTGTTGTATAGTTTAAAACTACTGCACGGTGTCTTTGTGCGCCAAATACCGGCGAGATGGCACCGTGTAGAAAAGTCCAAACAGTGTCTGTGAGTTAAAATGGCCACCATTCATTGTTCTCACCATGTGCTTCATCCATTGTTACCACCATGTGCCTCTGATACATGAAATGGTGGCCACCCAGTAACTCCACAGTATGTCCCCAGATGGTTCTTAAAGGACCAGCAGCAGCACAACACAAATCCATTATGCCCAAATCATGTCTTTAAAGGGCAATACATCCCAGGGGCCATAGTTACATGGCAGGAGGCTGGCAATCAGTCTTCTCCAATGCCCACTGGCGAGGTCAGATTCGCCACAACATCCTTGTAGTTACTTTTCTAGAAAGTTGTCTCCTGCTGAGCGCAATTACGATATTGGCTATAGAAAATTGTTCGCCATTATTGTAACTCTCAAGGAGTGGCAACATCTTTTAGAGGGTTCCAAGGACCCCCTTTTGTTCATTACTGATCACAAAACCTGGCTTACATAGGAGATTCTAAGCAATTATCTTCTAGACAAGCTAGGTGGTCTCTATTTCATTCTCGCTTTAATTTTTTTATCACTTACAGACCTGGTTCTAAAAATGTCAAGGCCAACGCCTTGTGCAGGCAGTTTGATACTGAGGCTATACTAGAGCAAGAAACGTCCCATATCATTCCCCCGGAATGTGTCATTGCGTCCACTGTCCTTTCATTGTCCTCTCCACTGATTGGCTCCATCTTGGAAGCTCAGTCTCAGACGCCCTGCGGTAAACCTCAGGACAAAAACTGTTCGTTCCATTGGGGAAAGGGTTAATATCATGAAGGTGTTTCATGACAATGTAGAACAAAAAAAAAAGGAAAAGTAGGTCGCGCCACAGTTAGCTATAACGTAATATAAACTGCAATAATGTACTTACATATATAGGACAGATCAAGGAAATATATATTACAAAAAGTCAAGATAGAGAATGGATAGGAAGAGGACGAAGTAGGCTTGCAGGAGCTTGAGTTTAATATTGATCTGAATGGATTGTTGGTCTTGAAGTAGTCGAGTTTTCTCAGTGTAGGTTGGGATATGTGAACACAAAAAAGAAACTCCAATAGTGTAGATGGCAAATGACCAGAAAAGGGAAGATTCACAGCAGTGTGGTATTTACACTCACCTATTAGAGAGCTAGAACTAGCTCGGGTATAACTGGCATTCAGTGGTGTCGATCCCCCACTGGTAGCATTTGAGTGCTGATCAACTGGCATTAAAACAGCAACCTGGTACATGTTTTTTTTTTTTTTATAAGCTATTGCTTATTCAAATTTTGGCGCCAGAGTGATGTCATTCACATAAAACACAAGTGCATTATAAATCACAATTAAAATATTTTCAAAATAACATAAAAACATAATATAAGTATAAGATATATTTGTTTAGAAAAAACGAGCATTAATGCCAGTTGATAAAGCCCTGTGTGGCGAAACGCGTTTTGGCTGTTCTTCATTTATTTTTATGTAAAGGAATGTTGGCTTGTTAACCCATATGTGCCATATACCTTTTTTATTCACTTTATTAATAATATTTTTTAGTATTATTTTATTTCATTTATTTTTAACTTGGTCATCAGCTACTTCGGAGAAGTTACCCGCCCAAGAATCCCAGGTGGGGATTGTACCACCCACGCTATTACAGTGAGCAGTATATTCCTGCTCACTCATATGTGAGTACTTTACTTTTTTATATTTACTTGATTTGTTTTTTGTTTTTTTTATATATTCTTTTGTTTTTGCAGTGCAGAAGAGTGAGCAACATGCATGGGTACCCCAACAGCTTTCCTCATGCATCAACAGTACAGTTATAACAAACAGGAGTACGTTAGTGCTTGCACATTTTTATAGTTGGCATGCATTTAATGAATGCCTTTGAATCTTTTACTGTCATCGAGAGGCCAACATCCTGCCACTACGTCTAGTGGCCACGAACTCCCACAGTCCAAATCATAGGACCGCCACTTGACATTAGCAGGGCCTCACCTGTCACTTTCTTTAGTTATTTTTTTCGCCTCGGCACTAGTCAGCAAGCCAGTTCTACGAAGGTCTTGATCTTCTCCCCCCTCCCAACCCACTCTAGGATGTCACAGGAAATAATCCTTATTGACGACCTGCCTGTGCAAAATTTACCCGGCACTCCAGCCAGGCCTGGGTCTCCAGAAGTATCCCTCACCCCTTCTACTTCCAGGTCCCTGAGATCATAGACCATAACGAAATGGTCAGCAGAACATAGGGGCATCCCTTTCCCAGCTACAGGCAGGAAGGCCGAGCTCTACAGATTGCTCTCAACTCAGTCCAAAGACCCAGGCCCAGCACAAGCTCTCAAGGACTGCACACCAGCTCCTCAGACGCAACTCAAGAAACCTTAGCAGCTATCCTTGCTAACCTTCATATGCTGAACCAAAGGCTGTCAAAGGTGGAAACAGTCATCACTACTCCAGGTGACTAACCAGGCCCTTCAGGTCCTCCCCTGGTAATCCCTAACCTGCTGAGTAGAACTCCCCTCTGCCCCCACCCTCCATCACTATCCTTAAAGGTATCCATAAAGTCATGGGCCCCCCTACAACTAGCAGACTGCCTATTGATGAGCCCATATTCAAACAACTTAGCAACCTCTTAGATGCCTCTCCTTTTGGTTCTCAGACCAATTCTGTTATTAAAGTCGCTATATTTATTGCATTCTACGGCTTTCTCAGACCTAGCGAATTCACGGTCATACACTAGTCAGATGCCACCTTAAGTCTCAAGCATTCTCACCGGACCACACTTAAAGCTGTAGCGGAGAGGTAGTATAAGCCACAGTACCTCCGCTGGGTAACAGGAACAGCATAAAACAATCCAAGGAAATAAAAACAGTATACAATAATCCCGGTAGCGTTATACGAATTCTTCCTTCCCAAGAACTAGACGACACATAGGCTGGGAGTCAACTGAGGTTTTATTCACAGGACACTGTATTTATGGGAATCCCCATGCAAGGGGTTTCCCTACTGATATTCCAGAGGTGGTACAGTAGGGGACTATATGGGGAACTGACCAACACATGTTGGCAGAATTGCACTTGTTGCCCTCTTTTTATGTCTGTTTTATGCATAGGAGGATACTTGTGTCAGGGTCTTACCTGGGTTGGGAGTCTGTAGCGCAGATATGTTGCTCACCCTTGCAGATAGCCACAGGCCAAGGTGGTCAGGTAAGAATTCACCCAGCCTGTGGGTCTGTGCAGGATGAAGTACCAAGTCGCAGGACAGGCAAGGGCTCAAACAACAGAATCGTCAAGGGATAGCTGAGGTCAAAGGATGCCAAAGGACAGGAACAACGAGGAATAGCCGAAGTCAAGGGATGCCAGAGTAAACGTAGTCAGAAGCCGGGGTCAATAACATTTTAAATACACTGCTGATGTCTGATCAGAGTCAGGTGAAGCACAGCCAAAGTCAAGGTACAGCCCCCAGAGTAATAGACATGCCAGGATGAACAGGACCAGAATGACTTGTGGAATACAAAAGCTGCTGTGGCTCAGAGGTAGGAAGCAGGACCAGGATTGCGAAGTTCCCAGGTTGAAATCCCTTGTTGGGAACTACTTGGGTGACCACGTCTGGCCGTCTGTCTGCTGCGGACAACTTGGATGTGTCATTGATGATGATGTGATCCTTCCCTAACCCTCCCCTTTTCTTTTCTGTATCCTTGAAAAAACAATAAAAACTGTCAAATTGAAAAGAAAAAGAAAAATAGACTGAAATCCTGGATATATTATGTACTCTGTAAATCAGGACAAATAAATGAATACATTTTGAATTACTTTTCTTAAGATGCACTAATTATGCACACATTATTATTGCCAAAACTATGGTGGGAAAAAGTTTTTTTTAATTTTTATTTTTTTTTGTATATTAATTTTCTAATAAATTACAATTTAAAGCCATTTTTGCCCTTTAAAAAAACGGTATATGTTATGTGTTGGTGTAGTAAATGAGAAAGATGGAAATTGCAGTTAAAAACACACAAAGCAAAAACTGCTTTGGTCCATAAGTGTAGAACAAACAAATTAAATTTGGTCTTTAACCCCTTAAGGACCAAACTTCTGGAATAAAAGGGAATCATGACATGTCACACGTCATGTGTCCTTAAGGGGTTAAGGAGTTAATTGAAAGCACCTTATGTGAGAGGGAAGAACGGAACTGACCTGCTCACAGTTGCGTCACTAGGCGGGGGCATGCCCCCCCTACATCATGCAGTGCCCCCCCAATTGAAATTTAAGTTGGGAGCACAAAGTCTTCCTTCAGAAGCTGCAGCTGCACTGTCAGCACTCTGTTCCACCCTTTTTTCATGTGCGGCCAGAGAGGGCACTGTACTGGGAGGACTTCCTCCGGGATCATAGAGAGCAGTGCAGGGGAGAGACAGGGAGAGGAAGTTCAGCTCTGCACAGAGGTATCCAGGCAGCTGCTGGTAAGTGTGAGTCAGTGTATGTGATTCAGTCTATGTGTGTGTGGGCTCAGTCTGTCTGTGTGGTTCAGTCTCTGTACGGAGGAGGGGGGATCAGTCTGTGTGTGTCAGCCCGTGTGTGGGGGCGGGGGTTCAGTCTGTGTGTGTAGGGGTGTGTGGGTGGGTCAGTCTGTGTGTGTGGGGAATCAGTTTGTGTGTGTGTGTGAGGGTCTGGGGTGGTAAATCTCTGTGTGTGGGGTGGGTCAGTCTGTGTGGGAGGGTCAGGTCAGTCTGTGTATGAATGGGTCAGCCTGTGTGTGTGGAGGTCAGTCTGTGTGTGTGGGGGTCATTCTGTGTGTGTGTGTGAGAGGCTCAGTCTGTGAGTGTGTGGGGGGGTTCAGTCTGTGTGTGTGTGTGGAGGGGTTCAGTCTGTGTGTGTGGGGATCAGTCTGTGTGTGGAGGTGGGGGGTTCAGTCTATGTGTGTGTATGGCAGAGCTCAACAAATCCCAGGCACCATGGCACCTGGGATTTGTCAGCCTTTTACTTGTCGGCTGGGCAAACAGGGAGCGTTGTAGCCGCTTGGCTTAGGGATAATGAAGGCAGCCGGCTCAGTGAGCATGTAGCCGACCGCCATGGAGGCGGCCGGCACAGGGATCGTGGAGACAGCCGCTATGAGTTGTGTGCAGGTGGCCACCCTGGGGAGAATGGAGGTGGCAGGATAGAGCAGCACGTGAGGGAGCAGTGATCTTACTGCAGCTCCTCTGTTCCCTTGCTCTGTATAGTGATGCTGGGTGCTGGAATATGATGTCATTCCGGCCCCAGCATCACTGCAGACAGTGCGAGGGAGCAGAGAGGAGCTGCAGGAAGATCACTGCTTCCTCGCACACAGGAATAGCAGCCCCACTGAACCCCAGGGAAAGTCCACTCAGCTCTCCCAAAGATAGGGAGGAAAAAGATATAGATTTGTGAGTGTTAAAGAAAGTGTGTGTCTGTATGTATTTTTATATATATCTAGAAAAGCTACAATTTCTGGGGAAATTGTGTGAAGTGTTCTTGCCTCCACCAGTAGTCTACAACTGGAGTGGGCAGAGTAACTGTTATCATTTATATAGCACATTTAATTGCAACGTTGTTGCACAGTTACATTAAACCATACATTTATAAAAACATTAGCAGGTGTTCAAAAGGCCCTGTCTATGACATCACTTGCTGCTGCAGCCTGCCACAGGTCAGAGTATTTTGGCAGTTGCCATCTTCAAACGGTCGTATTTTAAAAACTATAAATCCTACAGCGAAGAGCTTTATATTGTGAGAATCACAAGACCCAGACCTACATTTTGATGCATAGTATGTCTCTAAAGTATTAAAAATGAAGGTACAGTCGCAGTTTAGAAATTGCACTTCAAATTTGAGCTAATGTTTTTATAAATGTATGTTTTAATGTAACTGTGAAGCACTTTGGGCAACAATGTTGCAATTAAATGTGCTATATAAATAAATAACAGTTACTCCGCCCACTCCAGTTGTAGACTACTGGTGGAGGCAAGAACACTTTACACGATTTACCCAGAAATTTTAGCTTTTCTAGTTTTTATTGTAATTTTACAAATTTAACAAGTATTAACAAAAAGACATGTATGTTCAACAATATCTTCATGTCGAGCAGAACAAACCTCAATGTTATCTTGCAATATTTCAACGTAATCTCATACATTCTATTTCTCAATTACATAACCAGTGGATATTAAATTCTAAGAGATTATTATAGTTCTGAGTTGAGTTGAACTCATTATCAAATATGAATCAACAAAAGAATAAATAGTGCACAAAACATAGATGATATATACAACATAAAAAGACCTAACACCTAAGGGCAGCCAAACGAGAACAGAATGGGATGGGCGGTACCAATGGCGTTTGTTAATATATTATTTCATCAAGAGCCAATCTTTTGGGAAGGCATCACTAGAGTTGTCTGAATAGAAGTAGCTATGCATGGGTTTGTTGCCCACAGATTATCTATTCTTTATAATAAATCTTTAAAATAGATCGCCTTTTCCATTTACCCTTGATATTAAATCTGAGCTTTAATTTCTGATATAGAGGGAGATACATTCTGTTTCTACATTCTAGCCATACAACGTTTAACTGCCATGTGTCTTTATGTATGTATGTATGTGTGTGTATGCCTCTGTCAATGTGTGTGCTTGTCTGTCAGAGTGTATGTCTGTTTAGGTATCTGCCTCCTCCGATCACATGATTGGTGTTTTTACTTGCATTTTTTCCCATGCCATGCTGGTTTCGCTGTGGCTTGTTCCTCCTCCATAGCTGAGATCTTAATGATCTCAGCTAAGCCAATGCTTCCGATAGGAAAGCATTGGGAGGATATTACGCATGTTCTCTATGGGTAACATTTGCGCCTTAATGCAGAGCACTGACACAGGACTCTCTAGTGGCCATCTGAGTGACTGTCACTAGAAGTCTTAGTAGGCAGCGTTTTTTTTCTCTGAAAAGGCAGCGTTTACATTGAAGGCTACAGGGACAGGCTATAGGCACCAGAACAACTACATGGTTCTGGTGACTATAGTGTTACTTAAAAAAAAAAAAACTGGCTCCTAACTTTTTTAGCTGGCTCCTAGATTCCAAATTTGTCAACCCGTGGTGTATGGGTCAGTCTGTGTATGTGGGCTAGCAGTCTGTGTTTGTGTATGGGTCAGTCTGTATGGGTGGGCAGTCTGTGGGTTTGTATGGGTCAGTCTGTGTAAGTGCTAGAGCTCCAAGAGAGAGACCTCTCATTTCATGACCTCCCCTGTATCCGATAGACAGCCTTCTCAACCACCACGGATCTGATTGTGCCACCCCTTCCCTGCATGTAAAATCAGGGAAAGGGGAATTTTATTTTTTTTAAACAATAATTAAAGTAAAAATTGTAAAGCTCTTCCCCATTCCACTCTCTACACCCCCTGAACAGATAGTGACCCCCCCCCCACATACAGTACATTCCCATCAACACAGAGTACACATTTGCATACACACGCAGTGCACCCCTCACACACACCATCTCTTTACCCACACACACAAATGCATACATGCTTCACCCCATTACACAAGGAATCTTACACACACACACACACACACACACATATACATATATATACACAGTTGCAAGAAAAAGTATGTGAACCCTTTGGAATGATATGAATTTCTGCCCAAATTTGTCATAAAATGTGATCTGATCATCTAAGTCACAACAATAGACAATCACAGTCTGCTTAAACTAATAACACACAAAGAATGAAATGTTGCCATGTTTTTATTGAACACACCATGTAAACATTCACAGTGCAGGTGGAAAAAGTATGTGAACCCCTAGACTAATGACATCTCCAAGAGCTAATTGGAGTGAGATGTCAGCCAACTGGAGTCCAATCAATGAGATGAGATTGGAGGTGTTGGTTACAGCTGCCCTGCCCTATAAAAAACACACACCAGTTCTGGGTTTGCTTTTCACAAGAAGCATTGCCTGATGTGAATGATGCCTCGCACAAAAGAGCTCTCAGAAGACCTACGATTAAGAATTGTTGACTTGCATAAAGCTGGAAAGGGTTATAAAAGTATCTCCAAAAGCCTTGCTGTTCATCAGTCCACGGTAAGACAAATTGGCTATAAATGGAGAAAGTTCAGCACTGCTGCTACTCTCCCTAGGAGTGGTCGTCCTGTAAAGATGACTGCAAGAGCACAGCGCAGACTGCTCATTGAGGTGAAGAAGAATCATAGAGTGTCAGCTAAAGACTTACAAAAGTCACTGGCAAATGCTAATATCCCTGTTAGTGAATCTACAATACGTAAAACACTAAACAAGAATGGATTTCATGGGAGGATACCACAGAGTGATTGTCTATTGTTGTGACTTAGATGATGATCAGATCACATTTTATGACCAATTTGTGCAGAAATCCATATCATTCCAAAGGGTTGACATACTTTTTCTTGCAACTGTATATATGTACAGCTCCTTGGTAAAGCCAATACACATAGACTCACAATGCAGCCCCTAAATGCATACGCACACACTTTACAGGCCCTCTCAGCACATACACAATTTCAAAAGCTCCTATACATGAGCACATGCTCACACTACAGCCCCTAGTTACAAATAGTACATCATAAACAGACTCCTCTACACACACTTCACCACAGCCCCTTTTAAACACCATGAAAAATTATCTTGC